AATGGGATATGTTTTGACAAAGAATTATTCCTACTTAATGTATTAAAAACTAGCACTTATGACACTCATTATTCTTAAGACCAGAGATAGATTGGAAGCTATCTATTTTTCATGTCTTTTTTCTTTTTCTTATCTCACTTTTTCTTTTCCTTTTCTTTATAATTTGTATTTTCAATTTTCTTTTTCATTATATGTTTTGACAAAGAATTATTCCTACTTAATGTATTAAAAACTAGCACTTATGACACTCATTATTCTTAAGACCAGAGATAGATTGGAAGCTATCTATTTTTCATGTCTTTTTTCTTTTTCTTATCTCACTTTTTCTTTTCCTTTTCTTTATAATTTGTATTTTCAATTTTCTTTTTCATTTCTAACTTTTAACTTTGTAATCTTAAAATTTCAATAAAATACTATTAAAAAAAAAAAAAGAAGGGACACATCTACCCAAGCATGAGGATCTATATTCATGACAGAAAAATCTATGTTTGAAAAATTCTAACAAAGGCTTCCACGTGTGAGTAAATGTTTCTTTTCTTTTTTCCTTACCTACTGTTAATGCATCAAACAGCCGATGGATTGTGTCAGTATCTTTGACAATCCCAGATTCCTGGATGCGCTTTACAAAGTCATTCACCTGCATGTGAGTTTTTGGCAACTCAAATTTTTTCACATGATCGTCTATTTTGGTTATTTCTCTTTGTTTATCCAACAGCTGACTTATCAAACGCTTCAGTTCGGGTTTCTGATCCGCCTGGGAGCGGTCCGACGGTGGAAGTGTTTCTATCATTTTTCTCACAAGGTCAGTAGGGAATATCCTTATGTCTGTCTTGTACAGATTTTGGAAGTCCGAAAGTGCATTTAGAAATTTCCTTTGCATCAAACCTATAAGTCCCCGAAGGTAGAAATACCTCGCTAAAAGTCCAGAGTTCTCTGGTGATAAAATTGTTATAGCTCTGCTGAGATGGTTAATAAAGTCATCGTAGTATGACTGGACACCATGACTCACCAACGGAAAGTGAATTTCTGGAATCCTGAAAGTGCTGACCGGTTTAGAAATCAACCTTTTAGCTAGAAAAAGAGAAGATAAGAAATGTTTACAAAAAGGCACCAATGGTTCCTGTTGATGTTCTGGTTTCATTTTGAACTTCCACACATTTCTTCTCCTGGAAGAGACCACAGACTGATGGGTAAGAGTACATAAAGGGAGTTTTGCAGGAAGTTACACTGGCTTTTAAAAAAGATGCAATTCAAGGTGTCAAGGAAGACAGAAGATCTGAATCTGATCTTTTCTTCTGCAATGCAACCCTCTATGTACTTTAACAACAAGTTGGAGGCCTGCAAATCAGTAGCAAAGCAAGCATTCTGAATTCACTTCTTATGTCATCCTCTAATCCAGGGTTCCTCAACCTTGGTGACTTGAAGATGTGTGGACTTCAACTCCAAAATTCCCCAGCCAGCCATACTGGCTGGGGAATTCTGGGAGTTGAAGTCCACACATCTTCAAGTTGCCAAGGTTGAAGAACCCTGCTCTAATCTATGTTCCTTCTGGAATGGGCCCTCAGCACTCAGTTCTTCAAGCAGCCTTACGTCCCAGCACAAAAGTCCCTACTGATGAAGTAGCACCCTGGAATTCTTTGCATAGTTTCTCCATCATTCTACACACAAACCAGTGGGCACCCCATGGACTAGGTCTACGTCCTAAAGAGCTGAGGGAGGTCTGGCTCTTCTCTGAGCTGTTATGGCACATTGCAAATGATCTGAGTCTTCACTTCCCACTCTCCTCCATCCACAACATGGTTACATAAGAAGCCATAGTTTCTATTAAAATAAGTGAAGCACCAAATGGTAGCAGCCATTTCTTTCTCTTACCTTGCGTAGTGTTTATACTTCGAAGGGATGAATTCCTAGTTGGACCATCCTTCGGCTTAATGTCTTGAAGGTTAGGCAAACTCATCCCCATGCGCCTGCTGAGCATGTACTGAGGATTAAATCTTTTAGAAACCATTTTCTCCATAGTCAGCCTTCTTGGATTACCAACCATTAAGTTGAATCTAAAGGAAACAACATATACATACAGACACAACATACATACATACATACATACATATATATTTTCTCACTACATATTAATTCCAACTGGATTATATCCGTGTGGACTTCTAGCGACTGCCTGGATAGGTCCCTGAGGTTTTCTTGGCAAGGTTTTTCAGAAGTGGTTGGTCCTTGCCTCTTCTTCCCAGGGCTGAGAGAGACGGACTGGCCCAAGGTCACCCAGCTGGCTTCGTGCCTAAGGTGGGGCTGCACCCACAGTCTCCCGGTTTCCAGCCTGATGTCTTAACCACTACATCAAACTCACTCTCAATAATACCCAAGTAGCATAATTTATAACATACATTTATAGAAGCTGTAAAAGTCCTTTCCAAGTCTGGAATCGGGCTTTTCCTAAATGGTTTGAACAGCTGTTCTCTACAACTTTAAGAGCTAGCAACTTCGTGATTGTTCTACCCTATATTCTGCTTTTGTTTATTTTACAAATTCCAGGTTACATTTTGTTTCACAAACACTAACACTCAGTGTAACTGAGTTACATGTCCAATTGACACCATAATTTATAAATCAAACCCCAAACAAAACTACCGGTGTACATCCAGGGTACACCATACAGGTAACAATACAAAATACCTGATACAGAACAGACTTACCTGTCTTCTTCACTTTGGGTACTCTGTTCCAGACGACCAAAAGCATCCATCTTTCGGTTAAGGCGGGCTTTGAGAAAAGAGTGAAACATGTAGGTTTCTAATACCTGCAAAACACAATAGAAAACACGATCAACACGAACTCCATTGTGCTAGATTTTCACTGATATCAAATGTTTCAGAAGTTTCCCCTTTAAACTGTATTTCTGCATACTTAAAGTAGGACTGCTACAGCAACAGTCTGTATGTTATATTCTAGACAAAAACTGTGGTTACTCGTGGGAGAGAAGTACAAAATATTCCTGAAACATCCTTGTATCACGGAACATGCATAGCTTTTTTATTCATCCAACCTTCTTTTGCTGTGAGACAATAAAAACACCAACTGGATCCTCAAAGTCAAAATCATCAAACTGGGATTAGACAATAATGGAACACATGGCTGGAATTGACTGTCTTGTGATAGCACTGAGAGCAATCAAAATACAGGTAGTCCTCGCTTAACGACCACAAGAGGGATCGGAAAATTGGTTGTTAAGAGGGGAGCTGTTAAGTGTATCGGACCCGATTTTACAACCTTTTTTTGTGGTGGTCATTAAGTGAATCACTGCAGTTGTTAAGCAAATCACAGTCGTTAAGTGAATAATGTGGTTCCCCATTGATTTTGTTTGCTGGAAGCCAGCTGGGAAGGTCGCAAATGGTGATCACGTGACCCTGGGACACTGCAACCATTGTGAGAGCTGGTTGCCAAGCACCCAGATTGTGATCACATGACCGCAGAGGTGCTGGGACGTCATAACTTCAGACACCGGTCATAAGTCACTTTTTTTAGCACCATTGTAACTTCGAATGGTCACTAAATGAATGGTTGTTAAGCAAGGACTACCTGTAGTATGAATAAGCAGTTAGATTTATTTCTTCTAAATTTACAGGCCACATTTCATCCTAAATAACTCCTAAATTTATGAGTAACAAGTATTTAGGATGCCATGTAACATCCTAAATAACTAAATAAGTCACTTTTTAGCACTGTTGTAACTTCGAATGCTTACTAAACGAATGATTATTAAGCAAGGACTACCGGTAGATCAAATAAACAAAATCTTCATTTGTTTTTTAAAATTACAACATGAACTAATAGAACAATTCATGTAAGTTCTAGTTTACCTTTCTGTAAAAAGGCTGATCGTCTATTGCTCTTGTTTTCAAAAATTCTTCACTATTAAATACTCTGTGTTCGTAGTTCAAATGGTCTTTCACCTCTCTGTTGATAAAATAGGATTACAAAAACAGAAACATTATCGATCGAAGCTCGCTCCTCCCTCCCCTCTTTATAAAATTTTACATCCTGCATTTTTGCTGTATTTTAAACAATCCCAAAGCTGGGAATTATTAATTCCACAATCATTTTGCCTGCACAGGTGGTAACAGTTGGCTAACCTTGTTAGGGCTTGGAAGATAAATGGGTCAAGTGTATAAATTACATTACAGGAACATGTATCAAGGCAGACATCAAAACAATATAGAAAGAAAAAAAACCTTTTTTTAAATAGATATAGGATCCAGAGCTTGTTTTATTTGGCTGTGTAATTAAACATGGCTTGAAAAGAGAAATTGCAAGTTATTCAAAAAAGAGAAGGCAGTGTGGGCTAGAGGTGAAAGTGTTGGACTAGGAGTGGGGAAGGAAACACAGTTTGTCGCCAACCCTCAGCTGCACTGGATGGCTTAGTGCTAGGCCCATTTACTCAGCCCAGCCTACTTCACAGGGTTGTTGAAAGAGGAGGAGGGAGCACAGTATATACTACGTGAGCACCTGAATGAAAGATGAGATATAAATATAATAAATGAATAAAGAAAAGTCTATTAAAACTGGGAATGTTCTTTCCCCATTGTGCATTAAAACACAATGGTAGCATTTATAAGAAGAAATAATTTGCAAAAAGTCTTATCATTGGTCTTATCAAACCAACGGAACACACCAATGGATCATCGAACAAATCAACCCAGAGATCTCACTCGTGGCACAAATGACCAGGCTCAAATTATCCTACTTCAGACACATTATGCAAAGACTTTGCTCTCTGGAAAAGGGTCTAATACAATACAATACAATACAAATACTTTAATGACCAAGTATAAAATATACACAAGGAATTTGTCTTCGGTGACGAACAGCAAGATCAAAATTGGAAGAAAAGGGAGAAGGAGCAAACAGCTGGCAGGCAAAACATCACTGGCTTTAGTTCTGCATTATAAAGCACTACACTATGACTACAGAAATCCTTTTTTTTAGCACCTGAAACCCTCAGCTGGAAAAAATGCTGGGAAAGGTGGAAGGAAAGAGAAGAAGAGGAGGACCAGCAGCAAGGTGGATGGACTCAGTTACAGTGGGGATGAGTGCACCGTTGGGAGACTTGAAAAAACAGGTTAGGGATACAGGTAGTCCTCAACTTATGACCACAATAGGGACTGGAAAATTCATCCTTAAGTGGTGCGGTCAATAAGCAAGGCATCATGTGACTGCACCTGATTTTATGACATTTTTGCAGCAGTTGTTAAGCGAATCATCGTGATTGTTAAGTGAATCACATGGTTTTTAAGTGAATCACAGAGTTTCCCACTGATTTAGCTTGTCGGGAGCTGGCTTGGAAGGTCGCAAATGGCAATCATGTGATCCCGGGACACTACAACTGCATAAATACATGCTGGTTACCAAGCACCCAAATTTTGATCACGTGACCGCAGGAATCGAAAATCACTTGATAGCACATAATCAATCAATCAGTCTTATCAGTGAACTGGAAATGATAGTAAAGACAACTGGAAAAACAGAAGAAAATCCAAATTGGAAGAAAAGGGAGAAGGAGCAAACAGCTGGCAGGCAAAACATCACTGGCTTTAGCTCCGCATTATAAAGCACTACACTATGACTACAGAAATCCTTTTTTTTAGCACCTGAAACCCTCAGCTGGAAAAAATGATTTGATTATAAGCAGGAGCTTCTGTCTGTGTCAAGAATCCCCACCCTGCATGTTTAGTTTCCGTTTTTACCTACGGGAGGCAATATTATTGCAAAAACATTTGGAATCAACAGCAAAGAATCACAGGCATTAGGACCCTGCTCAGATTTAACACTTCCTGATCATTTATTCCAGCAGGTTTGGCTCCAGTTCATCCTCACCTGCTCAGTTTCCATTGCGTGCCCTCACTTTCTCTCCAGCAGTAACACTGGGCTTTGAATTAAAGTCTGAACTCCTTTCTGTCTTTGATTAAAAACCAATATGGTTCTCAGCCTTGGTAAAGGCAAAAGATAGCAACACAGTTATTATGACTGAAAAGAAGGAGACAGAACACAAACTTGCTGGGTTCTCTTTCTTTTAAGAATGTTAAATATGATCAAGAATCAGGAAACACTGCATTTGCGTCAGGAGAAAAGGAAGCATGAAGAGGCTTGCTGTAAGAAATATAGGGGGTTAACTAGCAACACTAAACAGCCATTGAAAGGCTTATCCTCACAACCTACACTGAACACCCATGGAGTTCATGATTATTCAGGACTGTGGTGTAGACACTTTTTGATGGCTTTCTCGCTCAGATTTCACAGGAAGCATCAAGAGCACTAAACAGCCCCCAGTGTGGCCCAGGGGATTTTTTCAAAATTCAGTGTGATGCTGACCTTCAATAACCTTCAAAATCTCAGTTATTCCTTCATTTAAAGTCTTTGAATAGAAGATAGTATCAAGGTTGAGACACAATCTAAAGGCAGCTGAAAGGAATCTTTCAACACCCACCTAAAGATATTGACTATTAACTGCAGAGTAATCTGTTGAATTTCAGTATTCAACTTCCGTTGCCAATTCCTCCGGTGCCCCTGCATTTCAGTGAAGTCAGTGGAGGAACCCAGGTGGCAGAGTTCGAGCTCATAGTGTAGCTGAAGATTTTCCGATCTGTAGGAAGAAGAGAACGGCTCCTTAATGTTGTTGCATGCAGAAAGAACGGCTATTCAGGTTTTTCCAAAATGCTAACGTCTTATTTTTCCATCTACCGGTAAAATGCCTGCACAGAATTTGGACATGCTGCTTGAACAAACAGCTGCAAACAGGGATGGGGGGTGGTAGCATTCTTGTAGGGAAAAAGTGTGGCTCCAGCCATGGAAAAAGTGGTCCGCTCCTCCCAGCTCAAGATAATTTTGATGGCTGTCCCCCTGCTTTTCATCCTCTCTTATCAAAACATTAAAGCAGGCAAATCTATGGGAGCAGAACCACATATATTAGTTCCTTTCAATAAAGCTTGGATTGGTCCAAACTTTATTTAAAGTCCATCGTCAATCCTTTCCTGAATATCTGGATTCAGGATTCTGATAAAGTACCCAGCATCGCTCACGGGATCAATTAGCCAGAAAATCGTTTTAAATACATTTATAATTTAAACGTGCACTCGCTTTCCTCGAGAGCAAAGAAACTTCTGCTTATGGAAAGGACAATTGATTTTCACCCACTCCTTGTTCCATCGGCACCCTGCTATGGTTACATACCATACATCAGTGTTTCTCAACCTCAGCAACTTTAAGATGTGTGGACTTCAACTCCCAGAATCCCCCAG